GCTCACTGAGCCATTTATCCCTCTGCCCTTCAATTAACCCCATATGTGTTTATTGGCCATGTTGCCACAATAAACTAACTACTCCACATGTGGACTTATTTGACTCCTCGCTAAGATGGCTGCTTGTTTGAATACAAACTGTTAAGACCCTAGCCAGGCGTCCTCAAACTATGGTCTGTGGGCTACATGCGGCCCGCCAAGGACATTTATCCAGTCCGTCGGGTGTTTTTGCCCCATTTGTTTTTTTACTTCAAAATAAGATATGTGCAGTGTGCATAGGAATTTGTTCATAGTTTTTTTTTTAAACTATAGTCCAACGGGTCTGAGGGACAGTGAACTGGCCCCCTGTTTAAAAAGTTTGAGGACCCCTGTGGGCCTAAACACTATTCCAATTAATAGCTGGGCACCATCTGCTTTCTTCACCACACTTTGCTGTAGCCCCCTTGTCTTCAGTGGTCACCTCATGAAGGTACGTATTGAGCAAGGCCATGCTATCAAAACTCAACTTTTCTTGGCTTGGGGCTAGAGTTAAGTAGGAGCCCAGAATCTTTCTGCATGTCCATGAGATATACACAACGCAGGTTTACTTTGGTGACTGTAATATGATAAAATCAAAACCCCATAAGACCAACTACACCAATAACAGCAACAAACCAACCAGCAAACAAACAAACAGGAAAAAAAAGTAACAAAACAACAACAAAAAAAAACGAGCTAAAGGCAGGAAAACAAAAACCCACAGAAAGAGAAAAGTAGCACATTGCCAGTCATCCCTCTGAGGTGTAAGGCAATTGCACTGATGACATCCTCGCCACTTTCCCCAAGGGCACAGCCCTCTGGGCTGTTAGGGTGAGGAGCCTAGCGAGTACATCAACACCTGAGCTGGGCCCAGGAGTCGGTGCTTACACGGTTCCATCTTCATGTCCTTGTGCTCTGTTTACTCTTACGTGTGGGGATTGGTGCCCGGGGGGACTTCCTGGATCAGTTCTTCCAAGTGCAGGTCCCTGCTCATCAGATCTAAACCTGTGAGGTGCTAAATACATAGTGATTCTGGGTCTCTTTCCATTGGATGCCCACCAAGCTAGGGGTTTCCTCCCAAGGTCCAATGACCGCCACTTCCACGGTCCCGGATCAGCCACTCTCAGCTTCCTCTCCCATCCAGCACCCCAGGCCTCCGTCCAACGTGCAGGCAACTTTGAGGCAGGCTCAGTTCATTCAGCGGGGGCTCTGGTAAGTCCTTCTGGGGTAGCCCCTGCGTTATGCCGCGCTGCCTGCAAGGTCAGCGTCCACGACCATCATGGGGCTTAGTCCATGGCGTGGTTCGCTACCCAGGAACCTAAAATCTGGCTCATTGTCCCCCTCGGTTCCCTCCCCGCATTGTTTAGCCTCCCTTCCTGCTGTGGGGTTAGTGCTCCCCAACACCTACCATCCTCAGGAACAGAACCATCAGCGTCTCCCCCACAATGTCGATGGTCCCCTCCCCTGGTGTTGGCTTGATTTTCAGGCAAGATTTTCCTTCCTGTGGGGGCCCATTGACTTGCCCCAGACTTCTCTCAATGCCGTCTAGCCTCAAGTGGATGGTCACCTCCCACGTCCCCGCTCTTGGAGGAGTGATTCAGTCTTGGGAACCGTATATAGGGTTGCTCTGAATTGGAATAGACTCGATGACTTTGAGTTATATTATACCAGGCTCAGTGTTTAGGTCTTGACGAGTCTTGACTTCATTTAAATCCTCTTTACAGTCCGAAGAGGTAGTCAAGGTTATCATGCCCATGTACAAAAGAGGGAACAGAAACCCAGAGACGCTAAGTCACTCGCTCCAGGTGGCCCTGCTCATAAGGGGTGGGTAGAAGGAGCTGGCGCACATCATGCATGGTCAGACAGACGGCACCACCATCTGCCAGCCGTGACCTGGGCCTCGCTGTTCCCTAGCTCATCACTGTGAGACTGGCACGGGGGCACGTGTCAGCTCTCCACCTAGGGCCTTTGTGCGGATGGCACTTCATGAGCCGCCAAGAGGGCACTGAAGGGCAGCACCACCTCAGGCTGGGGTTGGTGGTGGTGGCAGGGACTTCCTTCTGCCAGAGGAAGACATGAAGGCTATGCGGGCCGTGATTTCTCCCGAGGGGGGTGGGGACCCAGGGCAGGGTTTAGGCACGGGCGGCTTGCCTTGGTTTGTTTCTTTCCTCGATACTGAGCGCGCTAGCCCCTCGGCCACATAATCCCACCATTGAACGCACAGTGCCGTGTTCCTAGTAGAGTCACGGCTGTGTGACCCTCCCACACTGCACTTCAGAAAGAAGCTCGTCACCCCTTACCCGTCAGTCCCGCTTCTCGACTCATCAGGCCCCCACCCCACCCCACCCCACCCTGTTCCGGACCCTTCTTATCAACCTACCGTGGGCACCCTTTAGAGGGGGCCTTCCCGCACTCCACCCCATCCCCAGTCTGTGCCTGTCGCCTCAGCACGCCAGTCCATTTCCACGGCCGAGTCGCAGTCTGCGTATCCGGGCGGTAATCGATAGACGTGTGTGATTCCACCTTCGACTATTGAGATGGATGCTTCTCTAATCATTCATGACCCAGTGGTTTTTTAATTTAGGTTCTTGTTGAGATGCTCCACAGCAGATGATTTTTTAATTTGCTGGTACTGTGGTTGAGATTACACACAACAAAACATCCCGCCCAACGGTTTCTCCAGTACGCTCGGTGACAGGGGTCTCAGTCTATGGACCTCTGCATTTCCCCACCTTGTCGGGGTTGTTCCTCCCAGGAACTAACATCGACTCACTGACCTGAGGCTCCTGGCTCATCTTTCCAGTTGCTATGCCCCTCTGATCCCAATTAGATAATTCTTAAACGAGCAGATTGCTGAAGGTAGACCTTTTCTAATTGGTTTTGGTCTTAAGAAGATTCCAGGGGAGATTTTTAATTGAAATGTTAAAGATTTCAGCCCGAGAAAGGCTCTCTCGGGGCAGTGCAGTCTCAGGGACTCATCCAGTCCCAAGTGCTTGGGGTCCATGAACATTTGGTGCTTCATTTCTCCCTTTGGATTAGCAATCTTCCCAAAGGTTCAGTGGTAGTACTCGGGGAACACCCCCCCCCCTCCCCCCCCGTCTCATGGGAGAGGAGGCCGCTGTCCCTGGAGGCTGTCTTCCGCACGCATCCTTCTCTTTCTGATCATGTCCAGAATTTTTGTGTGCACGTGTTTTGTGTTTTCCCTTCCATTGGATACAGACCGTGGCGTGGAACTGCTGTCTCCTGTGGTAGCTCAGTGTTTAACCTTTCGAGAAACTGCCTTTCACCCTCTCACCTGAAGAGCAGCTTCTTCGGCTCCTCACCAAGACCTCCTCTCTTCGCAGGAACAGCATCCCACTGAGGGTGGCCTCAGTGTGGTTTGCTTTGCTTTCCCGATGCGTCATGATGGGCTCCGCTGAGCTGCTTCCCCGGGCTTCCCATCCGTGTGCTTACTTACCTTCTTTGGGAAAATGCTCGCTCACTTTTCACTTGGGGTGTCTCTTTTATAAGTTATCAGAGTTCTTTAGATACCGTTCTAGATGCATCGATCTGGTCTAAAATAATTGCAAGTGTGGCCTCTCATTCTGGGACTGCCTTTTGGCTTTCCCGATGGTGTCCTTTGGAGTTGTGAATTTGGTAAGTCATTTCCCCTTTTGTCCTTTGCGTTCTGCTTTTTGGTTTCGGAAGCGAAAGAAACTACTGTCTAATCCAAGTCATGAGGATGTATGACTGTGTTTTCTTAAGAGTTTTAGCTCTTACATTAAGCTACGGATCCATTTTAAGTTTTTTGTGTGTGGAGCGAGGTACGGATACAACTTCATTCTTTTGTTTATCACCCCAAATGGAATTGTGTTGGCACTTGTTGGGGATGGGATGTTTTTACTGACTAGCTTGTTTTAGATGCTCTATTCAGTGTGGCACACATCAGCAAAATAGGTCCCATCCTTACCTTGGCAGTTTTCTCTCCCAGGAGTCAGCAGGAAAAAGGCCGAAAAGAGCTGTAGCGGTCACCCAGTGTGCAGCGCTGGGGAAGGGGCTGGAGAGGTGCTTAGCAAGGGTGGCAATTGGAGGGGAAGGAGACTCCCCCTCTTGGGCTAAGAACTTCCCCACAGCCACAAGGCAGAGCTGCCACCCACTCCTTTCCTGCCTGCACCTGGCCCATTAGCCCCGGAGGGAGGGCGGTGTGAGGTCTGGGAGAGAACCCCAGGACAGCAGGAAGGGTGGCCACCTTGTTTCGCCTCCCCGGGCTCAGTCCTTCCCGAGGATGACACAATCACTGTCCGTCCCACCACGGATGGAGGGGAGTATGGGACAAAGGGCAACGGAACTCCTAAAGGGATGCCCGGGCCTGGCCTCCACCTGCCTGCTCAGCACTCAGTGACCCTGCCCCCCGCCCCCCTCAGGGCGCCCCAGTCCAGGAGGGACAAGGATGCTGAGGTTACAAAGAGGGAAAGAGAGATAGATGTTGGCGGAGGCCAGCTGGTCCCAGGAGGAGGTGGTGTTTGTGGAGATGTCTGTGGGGAAGGGCGGAGTAGGGCGGGTCCTCAGAGATGAAGGCTCAGAGGAGGAAGGGAAAGTGGGCTGCCAGGTGATTAGGGGGGTTGGGGGCTGGGCTGAGGGCTTTTGTGAGGAGGGGGTGGGCCCTTACTGAGTCAAACAATAGGCTCTGAAAGTAGGGGTGGGGGGAGTGGGTTTAGAAAGATCCCTGGGCAGATTCGAGGGGGCTGTCGCTAGGAGACAGGTGGGTGGGTCAGAAGCCAGCGTCTAGGACCAAACAGGAACTGAGGATGGATGGAGCAGGACTGGTGTGGCCCTGTCTTAGCTGATGATGGGTCTGATGAAGCACCCTGAGTTCCTGTTCCAGGAACAGAGTCAAACACTCGCAGAGGGTGAAGCAGCATGTAAAGCGTTAAGGGCCATGATAGGCAGTGACGAAAGGCCAGGCTGGAGCCTGAGCACTTGGCTTTCTAGCCTGGGGGGTGGGGTGCTGATGAGCATAATAATAGACTGGGGCTTAGAACAATGATGCGGTGCCACCCTCAGCACAGGGCTCCTGACCCAAGGTCCAAAGACAGGGGTCCCAGCACCAAACACCTTTGCATAGAGAAGTCTCCAACTCGGATGGCGAGCGTCAAGGGCCACAGCCCACTTCTCCTGTGCCCTCTGAAGCTGATCAGGCCATGGCCTTGCCCAGTCCATACTCATGGAGATCGGGCAGCCCATGCCTTGGGTCCACACCATACCCACCCTTCTCTCCTCCCGGAGACCCTGACACAGAAACCCCAGGTCCCCACTGGGAGACCCCAGGCTACTGCGTAGGGAATGCGAGAGGAATGTGTGGACCTCCCTGGGAGGGTGTGGGTCCACAGAGCATCCAGGTTCAAGGGACTCCCCAGGGGAAAACCCTCCAAAAGGCAAAGAAAGGTCTGGAAGGACTGGCGCCCAGACACCATCCACCCACCGCCCCCTGCGTCCCTGTTCTGCAAACATCCTGTCCCCTGCCCGCTCCCCGCACTGCACTTCATCCCCCTCTTCTTCCACAGCCAGTACATCAAGGCCTGCAAGGCCGGCAACATGGACCAGGCCCTGTCCCTGTGGTTCCTGCTGGGCTGGCTGGGCGGCGACTCCTGCAACCTCATTGGCTCCTTCCTCGCTGACCAGCTGCCCCTGCAGGTGGGCCTGGCCAGGGCAGAGGGGGTGGGGGCCGGCGTGGCGTGGCAGGCTGGGACGGGGGAGGCTGGGAGGAGGAAAGGTCAGACTGACCCATCATCCTCTGCCCTGCCTGCCACGCTGTGTGACAGTGGGACACGTCACTGTCCTTCACCAGGATCATCTGCAAACAGCTCCGCCGGGGTCCTTCTCCTCAGGAGACTGTGATCCTGACGCCTCTCAGGACAAGCCTTGGGGCCCTGGGGGAGGGAAGGTGCTTCCGATGGCAGTGAGCATCTGGGGCCTTATCACCTGACTGGGTTACGCTGGGGCCACAGGTCACCTGGGCCCCACTCGTAATAATGGCCCTCACACCATCAGAGCTGGCCTCTGGTGGCCTGTGCCTGTCGAAGCTGAGGAGTGGCACAGCATGGTCATGGTCCACGGGAGTGGGGCCCCGGGGCCCTGGCTGCAGCTAACCCTTGGGTCGGGCTTCCCTGCAGACCTACACTGCGGTGTATTATGTCCTGGCAGACCTGCTGATGATGACGCTCTACTTTTACTACAAATACAAGAACCGCACCTCCCTGTGTGAGTTCGGGGACCCCTGGGGCCGGGCTGGGGGCTCGGGAGGAAGCAGGGCTCCTGTTCCAGGTGATGGAGCAGATGTGCTCTGGCCTCTCTGAAAGCCCGGGCCTGTCGCCCACGACAAGAGGCCTTGGAAGCTGTGAGCACCCCTTGGGCAGCTCACCACCCAGGCACTCACTCACAGCCTCCGGGTGGCCACCCCTGCAGGGTCAGAAGGGAGAGGGGCAAGGTTGGATGTGTGGGGGCACTCCAGGGGCGCTGGGTGTCACTGGCATTTCTGCTTGGCATACCTCCCGCCTGACCCCACTGCCCTAGCTGTTTCCTCTTTGTAGCCTAGCAGATGGGCACTGTCACTCTCTCCATACGAGACATGAGCTGTTGGTGCTCAGAGAGGTCAGGCCACTTGCTGAAGGTCACACAGCAGCTGTGGGCCCAGGCCAGGTCACAGGACGCAGGTGTCTGCTGCCCCTCAGATGGCTGACCTCAGTCCCCGTCCCCCCCCCCCCCCCCCCCCCCATGCAGTGTCTGTCCCCATCAACGCGGCACTTTTGCTCATCCTGGGGACGACAGCGTTTTCTGCCCCACTCCTGAGCAAGCCTAAGCCTGTGGCTGCCCCAGGGGAGGCCTTCCAGGGACGGAAACTCCTGTCCATGGAGCCCGGAAGTAAGGTGAGAAGCGGGGACATCAGGGTAGTTAGGCCGGGAAGGTTCTTCCCAGGGACCCCTGCAGGGTGGGGGGCAGGGATGGCTCTATAGGAGGTAGCAGTGGGGGGGTGAGGGTCTTTCCCTGCACCTCAGCCAGCACTTCCACCCTCTCAGCCCTTCACCCGGACGGAAATCATTGGCTTCGCCATCGGCTCCGTCTCCAGTGTGTTGTACCTGCTCTCCCGGCTGCCTCAGATCCGCACCAACGTGAGCCGGGGCTGCAGAGGTGGAGAGGGCTGTCCTGGATGCTCGGGTCCCCCAAGCTAAGGGTGTGGCCTGGGGCAGACTGTCCAGGTCTCAGCCCAGACCCCCCTTGGCTTGGGCCAGTTCAGCCACTTCTGCGAGCTTCTGTTCCTGCCTGCCCGCTAGGGGGCAGTGCGAACTGTGTGCCTAGGACAGCAGGGAGCGGGTGAGGAGGTAGGGGTCCCCAGGCTGGACAGTCAGAGTGTTGGGCTGGACAGTCGGGGCAGCGGGAGAGGTGGGTGTGGTGGGGACAAGGACCAAAGCCTGGAGAGGGCTGGTTTGTATGCCAGACCTGTGGGAACCTGGACACACCGTGGGAAGTCAGCCCAGAGCATGTTCGAGTGGTGGGGGACAGAGTGACAAAGAGCCCTGGCTGAGGTCTATGCTAACCCCGCCCCCCTCCAGTTCCTGCGGAAATCCACCCAGGGCATCTCCTACTCGCTGTTTGCGCTGGTGATGCTGGGAAACTTGCTGTACGGGCTGAGCGTGCTGCTGAAGAACCCCGAGGTGGGCCAGAGCGAGGGCAGCTACCTGCTGCACCACCTGCCCTGGCTCGTGGGCAGCCTGGGCGTGCTGCTGCTTGACAGTATTGTATCCTTCCAGGGGCTGGGGTGGGTGCTGGGGGCACCTCTCCACCTGTAACCAGCATAGCAGTCACTCATTCAGAGCCTCTTAGTGAGCCTGCCCAGATCAGCCCAGGCCCCGAGAAGCTAGGCAGACTGGCGCATGCCATCAAAGAGAGATGCACTGGAGTGGCCACAAGTGCTGCGGCGAACTCAATGAGGGCACAGATCCAGGAGGCTGTGTGGTGCAGCCCATCAGCTAAGGCCTCATGGCCCATAGGAAGGCCAGGTGTTAGGCCGAGGTGTGGGAGATGGCAGGCAGGGCCTGTCTGTGCACAGGCCTCTAGGCATGGAGAGAAGTGGGTCCATCCAGGCCGCCGGAGCCTGGGTTAGAGCTCCAGCCCTGGTGCCACCACTTCATACCCTCCCTGCGTCACGCCGGGACTCCTCCGGCAACCCCCTCCCCACCCCCAGCCCTCGCACACAGCACGTGCTCAGTCCTCCTAAGCAACTGAACAAGGACAGGATCGTGCCCCCTTTGGGAGACGTGAGCCTGGTCCTTGTTGCACCGTTTGCTGAGCTGAGTGCCTGCTGTCTGCAGCCTGGCATTCTAGAACGGTCTCTACCCTACCAGAAGCTTCTGGACAATTCCCACTCGTAGCAAACATGTAAGGACAGAGTAAACGGCCCCACAGGGTTTCAAAGGTTGCAGTCTGTATGGGATGGGCCCTGGTGACACAGATATTAAGCACATTGTTGCTTGCTGAGAGTGTGGCAGTTTAAACCCGCCCCCCTCTTCGGGGAACAAGGTGTAGCCTTTCTGAAAGGGCTTGCAGCTGTGGAAACCTGGGGGCAGGTCAGTTCTGCCCTGCAGGTTCACTGCGCTGGGACGGACTCCCCGGCTGTGGGAAACAGAGCGGCCACAGCTTCCTCCCAGGGAGCCGCCGATCGGGGAACCTCCAACATTCAGCTTGCAGCCAAGCTGCTGAGCCCCGTGCTCCTCAGTGGGCACCGCTCAGAGGCTGGGGTTTGTGGAGTGGCTGGGAGCAGAGCTGTGGGATGCCACTGTGAGTGGGGGGCACAGGGGACTCTGTCTGTTTGCCTTGACGACCCCCCTCCCAGATCTCTGTGCAGTTCCTGGTCTACAGGAACGCCTCGCCCGTCTCCGCAGAAACAGAGCCTCTCCTCCCCAGCTGATGGGGTCCTGGCTGAGTCCAGGACCACAGGGACCGCCAGGTGCCACGTCCAGGAAGGAGTGTGCTGGCCCCAGATGGTACTGTGGACTCCGGAATGGGCCTCGGAGGAAGCTGGTGGGAAACCTGTGGCCACTCTAGGCCAGCCGCCTCCCCTTCACTGGGCAAGCTCTGAGGGCAACGGACTGCCTCTTCCCGGGAACAAGATGCCCAGCCAGCCAGGAGGGAGGGCTGCAGCCTGGATGGGAACGTCAGAAAGCATCAAGGCGGCCCCTTTGGGCTCACCTACCTCATTTGACCTGCATCTACCCCGCCCCACAACCCCAGCGCAGCTGTGGCCTGGAGGACCCAGCCCCGCCCTGCTGCCTCCACACAGCCTAGTAAACGGACCCCCTCCCTCCATGAGGTTGGCTCTATGGCTCCTTCTCTTGGGGGCTGCTGGGGGAACAGCCCTAGACGGGGGTCTGGCCCCACATCCCAAGTCCCAGGAGGAGACCTAACGGGTCAGGATGTGGCCGAGCCCAGCCCTGCCCCAGCCTCCGGGGCCCCTCTTCTCTTCAGCTGCTGCTCTGGGCAGCTGTGGTGAGGAAAGACCCAGTCGTGAGAGCGAGCCGCCATCAGGGTCCTGGCTTCTCAGCGCCAAGGAAGAAGCAGGCTAGCAGATCCGGACTCTGCATATGAACTGCCGGGCCTCAGTTACCCCGTCGGTGAAATGGGGGTGGCATTACCACCTCCCAAGTCCTAAGAGTCGAGTGATGGTGGCTGCCACCCCCATTCACAGTGGGCGGAGATGCTGCCCAGTCCTGCTCCAGTACAGAACCCCACTGTGATCCAGAGAGTTTTACTGGCGGTTTCTTCTTCGTTCATCTTCGTCTGGAAGCTCCACTCTTAAGCCTCTACTGACAGATGGGCCATGGCTGTGCGTGAGGTGCACAGGCTGGGCCTCGAACCCATGTCTCTTTCACAGACTTTCTACCAAGGAGGACGTCCTGCAGGGACTGATCCCTCCCGACATGTCCAAAGTGAGTGGGACGAAGTCTTGCCATCCCGATCCTCAGAAACATTCCAGTAGTACTTTCAGGATGAACGTCTTTGTTTTGAAAGTCTATGGTGTATTCGATATTCTTCACCAAAGCCATACTGCACGTCCATCGGCTCTTCGCCTGCGGTGGCACCTGATCAGCGTTCGCTTTCACAGAGGCAGGAGGTGCTGAAGATAGCTTGGCGTGGGTTGGGGGGGCCTGTGGTCTTTAACGTGGACATCTGTGCTGTTTCACACTTTAAAAGAGGCCTTTTGTAGATCTCCCCAATGTAATACGTGGTTTGATTTCTTGACTACTTCCAATAAAGGAACCCTTGGTAGTAGTGTCTGGCTGTGATCCACAAGATCAGCAGTTCGAAGCCACCAGCCCCTCCAAGGGAGAAGGATGAGGCATTCTACTCCCGTAAAGAGGTCACAGTCTTAGAAACCACAGGAGGCAGTTCTACTCTGTTCTGTGGGGTTGCTGTGAGTCAAAGCCAACTTGATGGCAGAGTTTGGTTTTGGGATTTGGGTTAGTTCAGTTAGTCAGAGAGGGGTCATCAGATGTCTAAGACAGGATGAGATCAAGTCCCGTGAACAGCTAGAGATCAGGAAGGCCTAGCAGTGACTGACCGGTTGGAGGGTGAGTAGGAGATAAGGAAAGGGGAGTGCTGTGGGCTGGAGGAGGAGGCCCGGTAGGCCTGCTGAGAGACCCTAACTCTCCTTCCATACCTTACTGTTTAGTTGTCCAGGCTGGTCCCTTATACCTGCCCAAAGGAGGGGTCCTGTGAGTAAGCAGGGGCCCAGGGAGGCGGGCCTTCGGGGGAGAAGGTGGAGGTGGCTACCAGAGCAGCAGCAGCGCCTGCCCAGCAGGCTAGAGTTACACAATCCCCGCCCCAATGAAAGGCCGAGGGCTGCCACCTTCACCACGAGGGGGCGACTCAGCCCAACCTGCCACCCTTTGTGCTGCATGGCCTAGATCTGGTCTCTGCCCTCAGGGGGTGGTGCTTGGAGCTGTAAGCAGAAGGGTGAGAGTGCTGCAGGACTGAACACACTCCACACACATACCCGCCCCCGTTTTCTGCAGTTGGAGAGGAAGGCCATTCAGAGCCAGGGGAGGGGGGATATGGAGCCAGGCCAGGGGCACAGTGGGGCCACAGTCAGCTGATGCCCAAGAACAAGTGGCAGGACCAGCAGGGGCTCTTGGGTGAGAGGGGAGGGGGAGTTGGGCTGGGAAGCACAGGGAGGGGGCCCCTCTGAGACTTAGGCTGGTGGGTGGTGAGAGCAGGGCCCTGTCCTCAGGAGGCTACCTGATGTACAGCTGAGGCTTTTTGAGCACACACTGTGCTGAGGCTTGTCAGGCACGATCTCACTGTCCCACTCGGTGCTATCAGGACAGCCTGCTACAGGTGGGCAGCAGGGCTTTGAGGACCTGGCGTCAGTGTACATTAGGTGTCAATGGGCAAGTGCTCACACCGAACCAGAGCTGCCTCAAGAAGGGGCATCCTGAAAACCCCATGGGCACAGTCCCCTGAACACAGGGTACCCCACAGCAGCCCTTCCTTTCCTTCCGCCCACGGTCCCAGGGTTTGTGACCAGTGCGCAGACCCGCAGCCCAGGTGTGGCCTCAGCCCCGCTGGGCTCTGCCACATCGCAAGCAATGGCTGCATGATGCCTTGGGGGCTGCAGACCCGTGGCTTTGGCCAGTGCCTGCTTCGGGAGCCCTCGGCTGCCCTGGGTACCTGGCCCTATCTGGGGCTATGACCTGGCTGGGCATCAGCCACCTGGTGCCAGGGGAGTCAGTCCTTAGGCTGCCGGCTTAAGCCCAGCCTGGGAGGGACACAGCACCTTCAGTTGGGGGGAGCTTATGAGAGCATGATGTTCCTGACCTCAGAAAGCTCCTCACCTGATGAGGGAGCCCGAAGCTTGATAGAGACGCGGTCTCCTGCCCGTCTGATGGAAGAGGCAGCCTCCAGGTCACAGCTGGCCTGAACCTGAGCTGCTCCCCTCTCCCAGAGCCTTCACTCCTCTGCCCCAGGAAGGTTCAAATGGGTGGGGTCATCCCCACTCCCAGCAGTGGGCTTTGGGCTGCAAGCACAAGTGGCCTGCCCCGGCCTCAGATTCCTGGACTCCCTGCACGTGACTGGTCTGGTCTGGACACTGCAAGGGGGCAGGGAGGGTAGGGGTGGAGGAGCACCTTATTAACCTGGCTCAGAGGCTGCATTGAGTGAATGTGAAGTGGTACCAAGCCCGGGAGGGGCCTGTATGCCACATGCATGATGCCCTCTCTACCCCCATGGGGGTAACTAGCCCTGGGTTTGAGTGAATGAGGAAACTTGGGAGCCAGGGGATCGGGCCCCCAGAGAAGCTGGGGAAGGGCCTGTTGCCTCTGGCTCTGACTGCTCGCAGCCCTTCACCATGACTGGATGTGCATGGTTTTCCTGTTGTCATCACAAGCACAGCACAGCACCAGGCTTTACTTCTGGAGTCACAGGGGCTTTGAACCACGAACCTTGAAGTGACAACCAGTGGAGCACAACCCTCTGAAGCACCAGGGGCTCAGGAAGGGCCCCAGGGAGCTGTATTGTCAAGAAACAGCAGGGGGCTGGGAAAGGGTCTTGGAGATGACAGGCTCCCAGACCAGGGTTCCTGCCCTCCATGGGGCACCTTCAGCGGCCTGGGTAGCTTGTCCCTGCAGACCAGCACTCCAGTAAGCCGTTGGGGGGCACACACAAGCTCCTCTCACTGAGGCAGCCTGGGAGGAGGCAGGGGGAGAAATGGCCAGGATGTGGCCCCAAGCCAGCCCCACTGACCCCTTGCTACCACCAGCTGCTGCTCCTGAAGCCAGCCAGCAAGCCCTAGGCCCCAGCACACCATGCCCAGCCCCCTTAGACTGAATATAAATGGAAACTAGCCAAGCGTGGCCCGCCCCCCCCATTCCAGAGGGCAGGTAAGGTCAGGCCTGCATAGCCGCAATTAGTTTCGCATGGTATGCTGGTTGGTCATCAATTGTAATCCGAATACAAACTCTAGTTCAACACTTTTGGCGCAGCAGCAGCACTCTGCGTTCTTCGGGAGGTGGGAGCATTCGGAGTCTGCAAACTGGCACTGGCGGGACTCGGGCTCGCCTTGCCCACGGGCCACCTGGAACGCACTGGAACCAAACCTGCAGCACCCCACTCCCGCGCCTAGCTCTCAAAGGGCAGTCCCAGGGCAGGATTTCTCACCTCTCTGCACACCTTTCAACAGCGACGTGTCCTGTCTGGGAGTGTCACCTCCAACTGAGCTGAGTCCAAGGAGCCTGGGATGGGGTGCCATGACCAGGGCACCCCAAGTCGGATGGGCTGGCCAAGGTCTGGTCCTGACTGTGCAGCCACCAGGCCCGGGGCAGCAGGTGGCTAGAAGCCTGATGACAGATGGGGATGGCCCTCCTGGAGGAAGCGAGGGGTTCCCAGCCCTGCGAGGCCCTGAGCATCCTGTTCCTCCCACCTGCGGCTGTGAGAGTGGTGATGACAGCAGATGGAGGCAGGCCTGCTCAGGTGCGCCAGGCCTTCCTGCAGGGTAGCAGTTTGAGACCTCCAGCCCCCGGGGCTCTGCCAGGATCCCAATTGCCGTGTGGGTCAGCCCTGGACATTGAGCAGCGAGAAAAGACAAGGCCAACACAGACTGCGTCCCAGCTTCTTTTATTTATTTTTTTTGTTTTTTTCTCTTTTTTTAAGTATGGAGGCTCAAGTATAAGATGTAGATTTTTGTTTAAGCTTTACAAAAAAGACCAAAATAAAACAAAAAAAACCTCTGCATTCCATAAAAATTGACAGAACAGCACCTGGCCAGAAGCGCCGCCGGCCCCGCCCCCCGCCGGCTCGTGGGCGGGGCGTCTGCAGGGCTCCCGGCGGCTCCGCCTTCTCCCGCCGCGGTCCCCGCCCCCGCCACCCAAACACGCGTGGACTCCGATTTCCAGTTTTTCTTCTGTCTTTCACACACCACAGTTGTTTCATAAAATTTTGTTTTACATTTTTACACCAATGTAACAAAAAAGGTGGGTGGGGAGGGGGCAGACGGACAGTGTATTTATGCTGATTGACGGAAGAGGGGAGGCAGGGGGTGGGGGCCGAAGGAAGACACACGTTCTCTATGGAAACATTTCGATAGCAACATGTGATAGGAGTCGGCCTGAGACGAGAAGGGTGTGGAGCGGCTTTATTGTCGCGAGGCGGCGCGGGAGTGCGGCCTGTGGTGCAAGTTGTTACGTGACCTGTGGGGGTGGGGCGGGCAGGGGCCAGGGGAGCAGAAAACGAGTGTTCTAAGAAGGGATCTAAGGAGGGCGTGGCATGTCCGGTTAGCGCGAGCGGGTTCAACATTGTTGCTTCCTCTTCAAAGCCTCCACCAGGTCGTTCTTAAGGGCTTCTTGTTTTGATTTGTCTGCAAAAGTCTGCACAGACCTGCAGAGGGACAGAGAGTGGTGAGCGGGGGTGCCCGCCTGGGGAGGGGGGCTGGGGCTGCTGGGGAGCGCCCCACCTCCCAGCCAGGGCTGCACAGGGGGCTGGATGCTGCCACCTGCCCTGAGCCATGCTGGGGACTCAGCCCCCCCCCCGTGTGGACAGCACGCACACCTCTCTGTGCAGATGGGGATAAGCTGGCAGGGCCACCTCTGGGCACACTCCATGAGCTGGGGCGAGGCAGTGGCTTAGGGGTGTCCAAGCACGAGCTACCCAGGTCTGGGCTGAGGCCAGCACCTTGGGCCATGAGGACTCCGCTATAGCACCAGATCCCAGGCACGTACAGGGTGCGGAAAGCAGCCCACCCAGCGAGGCTCTGGGACCCAGCCCACTGAGGCAGGGGCTCGGGTTCCAGCCTTGTCAGCAGCATGTCAGCTTTGCCCAGAGTCCCTGACCTGGCCTCAGCCAGCGTGCAGGGACCGTGTGAGAGTTCAGGTGGGCCAGGGAAGCCCGGTGCGACTGTACAACACACGTGACCTCGTCTGGTCTCACGAGCATCCGGGAGAGTCTCCCTGTGCCCTGTGGACAGATGAGACAGGCTCACAGACCCCCCCAGCCCACTGGTCACTCCCTGTTCATTCTGTCAAGCTGACAGCATGTGTCGGTTAGGCGGAAGGTAACTGAGCTCTTCATAAATGTATGGCAGTGCTTAGGTGGTGAAGGCAGGGCGCACGGAGAGCTGTTAAGGGCAGTCTGCCCAAGGAGAGCCTCCAGCTGGAGAGAGGTCAGCCAGGAAAAAGGAGGGAAGGAAGGGACACAAACTACACCCCCAAATGCCAAAAATGAGCCAAGTCAAACGAACCCCCAGTCCCTGACTCAGGGACTCCCAGATGGAAGAAGGGGCAGTCTAGACTACACTTCTGAAGATCTAAACGAAACATCACGGCACAAACAGACCCAGGAGGAGCGCTGCTGCTGAAACAGCCATTTGGGAGCATCTGGCACAAAGGTCCGGCAAACCTGCCCTGTCCCCTGGCCCTGAGGTAGCCACAGGCAAGGACTGGACACCGGCTGGGTCACCTTCCAGTCCCCCATCCCAGCTGATCCATCATGCTGTGTGCAGCTCGCCTGCGCCCAGGGCATCCTCCAAGCCCCTGGCCCACTTCCCTAGATGAGAGCTCTGCAGAAGAGACTGTAAGGATGGAACAGCTAGTGGAGGGGGTGGGGGTGGTGGAGGTCACTGCAGCTGAGCTCATCTGTGCCTTCATGTGGTAGGAGAGCCTGTGCCCACTGCCAGGGCTGGTGACTCAGGAGGGGCCAGAGCAGTCTGCGGGCCAGGGAGTACTAACAAAGGAAGGCTCTCGCCCCTCCCTGGGGCCTGCGGTCACACATAGACTGGCCACCCCGTGGAGGCCGAGCACCTCACCCTGGCCCTGGGTTCTGTGCTGTGCCTACTCCCCCCGCCCCAAATGAGACAATGAGACTGCTTGGCAGGCACTGTAGTCACAGCCGGACGCTTCTCTTTCCTGTCGGCATGATGTGTTCAGGAGGATGCCTGCAGCCCCTTAGGGAGGGGATGGGCAGATCTGGGGAGCAGTGACCCTCAGTGTTCCAGGCCCACCTAGGCAGCCTCAGCATCCAAAACCTGCATTCCATCCTCAGACGCCCACAGGGGGACCTCCTTATCTCCTATGTCAGTCCCTTTCCCTCGGAGAAGGGGTTGATCTGCCTTCTAAGTTCCTTGGGGAAGAGCTGGGGGGTGGGGGTGGGGGCGCCTCAGAAAAGCCCCATGAGACATGTGGGGTCAGGGGGCTCCCAGCCTAGTAAGATGAGTGCTGGAGGTCACGTCAGGTTCTCACACGGCTGGGCTTCCTCAGGAGCGTGAGTCCAAAGCCCACCCTCTCCCGAGTGCAAAACACAGCACACAGGTGAGCGGGCTCCCTGTTAGGCGGGGCTGAGACTGCGCGTTAAGGGGCTGCACCCCTCGAGGGCACGGGGTTAGTGCTGCTTTAAGTGGCCGCGCGGCAACAGCCAGACTGGCGGGTCTGGGCGTTGGTGAGTCCTGTTTAGTGGAGGCACTCTCGCCTCTCAGGCAGGGTACCTGGATGACTTAATTGTCAGGCTGGATGTAGATCTGGCGCTGGGTCAGCACTTGAGAAAGCTCCCTCTGCAACTGCTTAAACTTTTGGTTGTCAGGGATAGCGTCAACAGATCTACAGAGAGCGGCACAGTCAGAGAGAGGTGGGCGCAGGGGAGGCGAGGCCCAGGCAGGAGGGCGGAAGAGGAGGGGGAGGAGGAGGAGGGGGAGGAGGAGGAGCAGGAGGAGGCTGTGGCAAGGGCATCTCGTGAACTTTCTGTGCAGGAGGATGAGGCCACCTCCTGGTCACTGCGGGGACTGCCTAGGGCCGAAGGTGGGAGAAGCCGAGAACGTGGTTCCGCGAGTCGGGAGTGGAGAGTACAGGGGCGCCAGGGACACGTGAAGATGTGGGGTGAGGTCCTCCCTGGCATGACAGGAGTGTTGCCAGAGGAGCAACTGGTAGCACGGGCCCAGAGGGACGTGTCTTGGGTGAAACTGTAGAGCAGATGACTCACAGTCTGTCTCGGGGCAAATGCACGAGCTACAGCCTCGGGCCCCCACAGTGGAGACCCGAGCAGGGAGGGACCCTGAGGGATCCTGCCCTCCCCCAATCCGAGAAAGACTCCGTCAGCCCGTGCAATTCCCTTGGGAGCCCGCCTCATCAGGATGAGGGAGGGCAGCAGAGGATGACTGCTCGGGCCTCGCAACCCCGATGAGAGCCTGATCAGTAAAGCAGCCCCTTCCCTCCCACTGAGTACTGGTCTCCTGCTCAGCGGGGCAGCGGGGCCCCTGGCCACAGCCAACAGAGCCTTGGCGAGGGCACCAGAGGGGCTGGTGTGTATGTGTGTGTGTGTCTGGCACGGAGGTCAGTCAGAGGATCTAGCGGCCTGGGTCCCCTCCCCAGTCTTAGGGCTGGAGCTTTGCTCAGGCCCAGGGCCAAGGAGCCCAGACAGGTTCTTTGGTGGGGCAGAGTAGCGGGGTCAGAGCCCAACTGCGTGGGGGCTGATCCACGCAATCAGGTCACAAGACCCTGAAGAGACAGAGAGCACACAGCGCACACCCGCTACCCTACCGTGGCCGCAGCCCTATCAGGTGGGAACGCTAGCTGTCCTACAAAGGAGGAAACTGAAGCCCAACATCACGTAGCTAGTAAGCAGTAAACTCAAGATTCAAACCCCAATCGCTCTGGCTCCAGAGCACACATACCTCAGCCCATTGACAATGTCCTTGGTTTTCCCGAAGTAGATCTCGTTCAGCGTACTTCTGATTTTGTTTTCCATGTCCTGGGAGGGGAGGCCAGTCAGACAGCAAGGCAAACTGTTACACACCCCGAGGGGAAGTTCCCTCTTCCCCTTCCCCTCCCCGGAGCCAGCCCTGCAGTTCCCGCTGTGACCACAGGGGGAGGCCCACGACTGCTCCTAAGCAGCGGGAGCCAGAGCGCCCCTCCGATTTGTGCTCTGAGCACTTTCAGGCCCAGAGGAAGTCCATGCCCAGGTATGGCGGCCAATTGTGACCATTCCTGGGAGCTCGCCTAACCCCTCAAGCTTCCCAACGATTCTGTGACCAATGCTCTGAAACCAGAGCGCCCCCTCCTCCTAGCCTCGGAGAACCAGTGGGGCCTCTGGGAGCACACGGGTGGGTGGAAGAGGGTGCCTTTGGAGGGTCTGGAGCCCTGCCGGCACCATGCCAGCGGAGGAAACGTCCCCTCCCCAGCCAGGACTGCTCACCTCCACCAGGCGCCCGATGTTGGCTATGTGTGGCGAACAGTCGCTCACAGTTTCGTCTTTCTCCATCTGCAAACGAGATGACCTCCAAGTCAGGGCGTGCCAACTCTAGATGCCCCAAGTGGGGCAAGACATGGGCGGGGATGTGCCACAAGAGTTCTAGTGCCATGCTGGGGTGGATGAGGGATGCTGTGGCGAGTGCCGGCTGTGTTGCCACCCCTGTTGAATGAGGCCAAGTGACAAGATGTAGTGGCCTTGTTCCTGCTGTGCTAGCCGCCACACCTGCCAGACCACGGCTCGGGTTGGTTTGGCTCAGGAAAGGCCACAGGGCACAGAAGGAAGACGTGCTCGTGTGACGGGCCTTCCTGGACCCAGAGCCAGGGCCTCCTCTTGGGCGAGGCCTACCAGGGAGAAGGCACGGGGAGGCGGTGGTCCTGGGGAGTCTGGATCCGCAGACTGAGGGGTGGTTGGCTACAAGGCAGGAGGAGCGAGAGAGCGCGCCAGGAACCAGGAGATGAGGGCACCCCGCCGACGCCAAAGCAATAAATACTGCACCGAGGCAGGGCTGCAGTGCCTGCTGGACACCTCCGCCTAGCCCAACACCCTGTTGCTAAGGCAACTGGTGTGTGGATGCTGAACAGCAGTGGGGTGCAGACTCAGGAGGTAGGAGGGCCCTCCGTCCACCCACCCAGGACTGTGTGTTCTTTTGCCACATGGAAATGGTTACTGTTCCAGACTGTGGGCTGCTTGGAGACGAGAAACCTGGGGGGTCAGGTCCAATGAATTATGTCCTTCCAGTAAATGGCAGCCTCCCCTCCCCTCCCCTTCCTGCTCCCTGCAGCAGTAGGTTCCTGGCAAACCCAGGGGCAGGATGAGGGTGCTGGGCTCATGGAGGGCGCCACCTGGCTGCTGGCCACAGGCTCTGGGTAGCCCAACCTTTGCGCTTCAGAATCAGGAGCCACCTCCCAACACGAGCAGCCTAGACCCCTGGGTGCTCACAGAGGTTTGGGGGCTTTCTCAATGTAGGTAGGGGCTCTCCTCAGGAGCAGAACTCCTAGGAGAATACAAGGCACCTGGGCCCCCACCCCCACCCCCCAAAGCCCAGCTGGGGGCGAAAGGAAGCTGATGGGCTGGGGGTGGGGAGAGAGCCAGGCACCCACAGCCTCCCTGCCTAGCCCCCCCCACCCCACCCCCCGCCGACTCCCTTCCCCACCTGGTGAGGGTCAGCTTGTTGGCAATGCCGACCCACCAAAAATAGAGCTATTTTTGCAATGCACATATTATTACATGCTTATAAAAGTGGCTGCCAGAAGGGAAACATTTGTATGTGCCGTGGCCGCACAGATGTTCCATAAGGCGATTCCAATGGAGACTGAAGTCAAGGCCCAGCCCCCGGACAACAGGGCTGGCCAGGGCATGGGAACCAGCCGGCCCTTTTCCTGGGACACACACCTTCTGGGGAGCACAGCCAGGAGGGGAGGGCCCGAGAGGCCGATCCCAGCTTTGGCTCTGGAGCCGGAGAGGTCAAGGCCATGGCCTGCCTGCGCCTCCATTTCCTGGTCCTTCCTTCCTTCACGATAAAGGAGTGAACCAGGACAAACTGGCATAGCACCGGCAACTTTTCTGGTTGTCAGAATCCGAGTTCCGCTCTGGGCTCTCGGGGGATTGGGTTCTCAGGCGGGCCAGCAGCGAGAAGGCCTCCCGGGAGGGATCTGCTGGACCAGCTCAGGGCGCTTTAACCGAACCGGAAACTGCACGTAGGAGGGGGCTTCACCAAGTTGATGGGAAACCGCATCATCTTTTAATCCCGTCTTCTCCCGTGATCTCGCTGAAGCCCTGGCGGTCTGGGAGGCGGGAGTGGGAGTGTCTCCCTCGGGCTGCAAGGTACGTGGTGGCAGCCCGAGCACTGCCCCGGGAGACAGCCGGGCGACAGTCAGGCGGCCCTTTCTCTCCGGTGATAGGCTCCCCTGTGAGCGGACACCGCGCTTCTTGCAGACTGAAGGCGACTGTCCGTCTGGGGAATGTTTCCTTCGCTCGCTTCACCTTCGCTCACAAAATCAGAGGTCAAGTCACCAGTCCATGTTCAGCTCACCCCAGCCCCTGCTCTCCTGCCCAGTCCTGCCCAGTGGCGGGCAGGGGGAGAGGCGGCAGTCTCTAGTCTAGAGCTTCCCCTCAGCCAGCCGCCAGTCACCGAAAAACATCAAATCCATCCCTCAAAGCCACTCTGCTCAGGCCTGTCACCCAGGCTCCCTCACGGAGCCGTGGGTACCCACCCCTCACGCCAAGAACATACTTCCTGAATCACCCAAGTTAGGTCCAGGTCACCCTGTGACCTCAATCTGGAACAAATCCCTAGGTGTGGGGCATGAGCACGCTGGGAGGGTCTTTCTTCCCGCCCCGTCGGTGGCCCGGCACCCCTGCCTGCAGATCCCGGCTGTGCTGGCTGTCCCGAGAGGGAAAGGTCACAGCTGACAGGTGACCGGCCTGGTCTCCCAGCTCCACAAAACATTCCACCTTTGTTTCTAAATATTTAGAATCGGAAAGGGGGTGGGTGGGTGTACAGAGTCAAGCAAACATCTGCAGGGCTTGTCCCTGATTGGAAACCTCGGGACTTTCCCCTGAGATTTACACCCTCGCCTCTTTCCCATGTCACCAGGAGAAGTGACCTCGCTCTCAGAGCCCCCTCCCCTTCAACATGCCAGTCCTCGGCTTCACAACTAACCCTACAACCTCCCCACTGGGAAAAGGAGGGGCTGCCCACCAAAGGGCACCCCAGCCCTCCTCCGTCACAAAGCTCGGTTCAACCACACAGCAGCTCGCTCACCTCTCCAGAAAGCCCCACAGTGCGGGGTGCGCCCAGACACTCATGGGGCCAGCCCTGTGAGGGACACAGGGAGGGACAACGAGGCAAGAGTGTTGAAGTGGCAAATCAGACCCGCACTGTGCTCGAGCCCGTTGTGGCACCCACACCAATGTGGAGCATGGCTCTTGTGGTTGGGAGGGTGGCATATGTGCAGGAAATCGGGGCCCCGGTTCTCCTGCTTCCAGGCTGGCACCTTCACTCAGCAGCCAGACAGAAAGACAAGGGGGTCTGCGTGGGGTTGACTCCAGAACTGCTCACTGCCTGCATTGCCCAAGGGAAGGGAGCCCTGGGAGAGCCACCAGCAAGCCAAAGCCTGTTCTCAAGATGGGCACTGGGAAGGGGTGGGGGGTGGGGGTGGGGGTGGGGTGGGGGGAGCAGGGCTGCACTGTGCAGCCAGGAGCCACTCCAGGTGCGTGCAGAGCTGGCACTGGCACCGTGGGGGACAGGGTCTTCCTTGACGGATGGGGTAAGCATGTGCACGAGAGTGAGTGAGTGGGTAAGATGGGCCTCATTTCCAGAGAGCAAGCCCTAAATACTGGGTCGCTGCACACGCTACTTACTCACGGAAGGGTTCTGGTCTGATACCTCCTCCCCTGGCTCTGGCAGTCACAGGCCCTGCCCCTCCACGCCACATGGTCTTCCTGCCCCTCCTTCCTGCCTTTGCCCACCTGTGCCTGCGGCCCCATTGTTTCCTGCTTCCCCTTGGCACCAGTTTCTTCCTGACCCCTCTACCACAGGCCTGTGAGCTCTGTGCCCAGTGCTGCCCTGGCTCAGGCCGTCTTCACGCTCATCACTGACTCTGGTCACAAGTGACGACGCATCCCAGACAGTTAACTCACTGCTCCAGGAGAATCCACCTCCCCTTAGCGGGTGCTGCTGAGCACATCCCCAGGGAGGGTGACAGTATGTGGCAGCTGGCTCCGCCAGGACCAGAAGGATGGGCTGCCAGTGGAGTGCGACTGGACACCCAAAGGGCCATGCCCTGTCTTCCCAGCTCAGTGTGGATGCATATCCTGGAGGCAAGGCACAGGGACAGGTATTTCGAGCTGGCAAGTGTGGTCTGGGAGAAATCAGCTCCTTTCTCAAGGCAGGAAGCCCTGGGTTCAAATCCCAACTCCGCGTTTTACTAGTTTCCGTCACCATGGGCAAATGTTCTAACAGCTTGAGCCTCAGTTTCCTCACCTGTTAAATGGGAATGCTAACTCGACAGTGCCTACAATTGAGGCACAGGAGACACCCTGCACAGCCACGCAGGTTCCCTCACTGCCCTTGCCCTGCTTGTCTCCCACCCAAGGCAGGCGGGGCCTTTCTCCAACACTCCCCTGGGATACAGAGCACAGGGCACCGCCCTCACTTCCTGGCGGCTCAGAGGCTGTGTGTCATTAGCTTTGCCAGGGCCACCTCATGCTCCCGCCCCTCCTCTCCCTACTGACACTGGACCCTAGCCCGGCTGTAATGCCCTCGATGAGTTAGGAATGGCCGTTAGAGTGATGACAGGAGTACCAATTGCCTCGTTCAAGTCCCAAGAGCAAACGGCAATGTAAACCAGGCGCGCAGCGCCGCCAAGGTGTGCTGAGGACAGCCACTCACCAGGCAGCGTTTGGCTTGGCAGGGGCCTCCGAGCAGTGAGCCGGAACCAGGCCCTGGGTGGACGGCTCAGATCGAAGCCATTAGGAAGGCGGAGGAGCCAGGTTCTATCCGAGTCACTGCACACTGGGGAATGATCAACAGTGGGGAGCGCTATGTGATGCAGGATGCCACCCTGGAGACTAATGGAGGGTCCCCCACCCTGCCCTGTGGCAGGGCATGTGGCAGGCCCGGGGAGATGGCTCCTCAGAGGTTCAGCTGCCCCTCTGCCCCCGAGTTACCTGGAAGACAAGGCCCATTTCCAGGCAGAGGATGGCTGCCCCGGGAGCACCGGCACCAGCGCCTGTCCACACACCGGGTCCCTCTAGACCTTTGCCTGGGCTGTCTGCAGCTCCCACCTGCATCCCAGGCCAGGAGACCCACTAAGCGCGCCTGCGCCAACTCCTCCAGCAGCTACTTCACAAATTGGAGGGATAGTTCTGGGAATACCCTAAACAGCAACGAAACCAAACCCACGGCCAGGCCTCCAGGGGAGGTTGGACCGCCCTCTGGGGAGTCCAGGCTGTCCTTGCTACAGGAGCAGACAGACGGCCCGCTGCCCCCCACAGATCCCCCAGTCAGCGTCAACCACGGTGCTGCCAGGCCCCTTCTACTGCTGTGACAATGCTGACCCCGAGTGACCTTCCTGGGGGCACACAGCAGTTTCCAAAGTGCCCATCTCTATCAACAGTGGTTAGGAGGGCAAGGTGGCAAAAACGTATTTTTAAAGTTAAATGGAGTCTTCCTACGGGTAAGTTGGGCACCACTGAGGCGGGGATGGAGAGGTTATCTTGGAAGAGGGCTGGCCCCGAGGACGTTTCTCTGGGAGCGGACTCTGCGACACCAACTTCTCTGAGGGTAAAATGCCGTGTCCCCCGAGGGCACACTGCATTGAGTCTGCACCCTCTCTCCACATTACAGAGGCATCCCCACCAGGGGCCCAGCACGCGGTTCAAGGCCTCTGCTTGTGATGGGGTGTCTTGAATGTCCCATGTGAACTGTGGCATCAAGACAAGCCTGCCTGGGGAAGGCAGGGTCTTGGGGGCCACACTCAGACACAGCCTGCACAGTGGCACCTGTTGGTTGCGACCGACACCTAAGAAAAAGGTGGGTGGGCAGAAGGCAGTCAGCAGCTCCTCAGTGCCAACGCACACAGCCCTGGGCACCTGACCAAGTACACCAATGGTACGGAGAGGCGATGAGCGCAGACATGGCCATGCCTGCAGTCGCCTGTCTGACTCTGGAGGGCGCCAGTGCTCTCGGCACTCTCAGGCATGCTCAGAGTCAGAAAGAATGGGAAACCCTGCTCAGATTGGGGAGGGCTGGCTGCCTACACAAGCTCACCCTCTGAGCCAGCTCTGGTGGCCATGTGAAAGGCCGACCCAGGCCTTGCTCTGACATCAAGACACAAGAGTCGTCGTCTCAGTCAAAGTGCAAACTGAAAAGTCAGACAGTGCGGCCAATGATCGGACGACTGGGGCTGACATTCGGCAAGCTGTCATGGACTGGACAGGAAAAAAATGACAAAATGTACGGAAAAGGTGAGTACAATCGCCATGATGTACTTTAACAAAACAACGACAATAAGTAGGCAGAGAGGGAATGGAAAATCCCTGGCCCCTTAGGGATGCTAGAGGTCGCCAGTTTAGACAGATGCTGAAAGCAGGCACTCTATCTTCTCCGTGTCCCGTATTCTTCCGCAGCGTCTTCTCTCTTTTCTGGGGACCCTCCTACTGGCCCTCCACAGTGCCCGTTGCCGGGTCTGCTGTCGCTCCTCTCACTGGCCTGCACTCAGGCGAGCTCTATCGGCCAGTTCTCACTCTGCAGAGGCCTCGCCACCAGCGACCACTGTCTGCTGTGTCCACTCTGCCCTCTCCTGTGAAGAGCACCCACATTTCCCTTGGGGAAATCAACATCCTAAAAGAGCCCAGGCAGTGCGGTGGGTTAAGGGTTGGCCTGGTAACCCAAAGCCAGTGGTTCAAGTTCACCCCCAGCCAAAGACGAGGCTGTCTGCTCCTATAAAAATTGATCACCTCAAAAACCCTACACAGTTCTACTTGCCCTACAGAGTCACTCCGAGTCATGATCAACCCAATGGGTTTGGTTCACTCACCTACCTCCCCATCACAGGTCACACTGTGACCCAAGTCTTGCCACCCTGACTCAGGAAAAGGTTTTGTCATGGGAAGGTGACAAGAGTCCAGCCCAGTGAGAAAACGCTGGGATTTGGGGGACCCTGTTATATAAGAGATGCTCTTTCCCCACAGCACTGCCAGGGGCGGGAAGATGGACGGCAGACGCCAGGAGCCACCAAGTGGACAGAGGCAGGGTACGGAATTCTGATCCGCTCAATGATGCTCGCGCACCGATGCATTTCCATTCCCACTTCAGCTGGTTAGGTTGTGTCTTCCTGCCACTTGCAACTATGAGTCCAAATCCACGAGCTTAGCCGGAAACTGAGAAGCTAATTCATTCTCAAGTGTGAGCAGCAGTATGTGCTGAACACCACAGGTGCCTCTGACCGTGAACAACCGACGCAAGACAAAGGCTCCCGTGCTGGGATCTCAGCAACCAGGCAGGCGCTCTCTCTCTCTCAAGAGAATGTGACAGCATGGGAGTACCAGGCACAGAGGCTGAGAGAGAGAGAGAGAAAGAATATGACAGCACGGGAGCACCAGGCACAGAGGCTGAGAGAGAGAGAGAGAGAGAATATGACAGCATGGGAGCACCAGGCAGAGAGAG